CGCACTTATAATATATGATTATACGCACTTATAATATATGATTATACGCACTTATAATATATGATTATACGCACTTACAATATATGATTATACGTACTTATAATATATGTAATACCTATAGAAAGTCTATTATTTACACCATTAAAATTCCGATACTTTCGTTATTTTGGTTTATTTTGATTACTTTGTTATTTCTTTGACTAATCTCAAATCTTTCCCGTTGTTATTCTTTTTTCCTACCCAAAACATTATCACTACCAACTACTTCCATCATTCCACTCGATTCATTTGGATCTTTCTTATATCGGTTTGGATCCTTATCTTCCATAGTATGAGTTCCATAATGTGGTAATGGTAACTCAGATTTTAATATATTCTCTCGCGTTTTTTCGGGAGAAGATTCAGGAGATGTCGATGATGGTAACTCAGATTTTGATATATTCTCTTGCATGTTTTCGGGAGAAGATTCAGGAGGTGGTAATGGTAACTCAGATTTTAATATATTCTCTTGCATTTTTTCGGGAGAAGATTCAGGAGATGTCGATGATGGTGGAAGTTCCGGTTTTGAATTTTGAGTATTGTCATGAGTATTGTCATGAGTATTGTCATGAGTATTGTCATGAATATTGTCGGGGGTTTTGTAAGAAGATTTATCAATTTGTCGTGTAGTTGTTGTGGTTGTTGTATGGTCATCGTTAATTGGAATAGCAACCGAAGATGGGGGTGGATGCGTACGTTCTTGATTTTCGGAGTTAGTTTTTTCATTACGAGTTTGTTCACTATGACTTGGTTCATTACGATATTTGTAAATTATGTAAACCGCATGAAGTATTCCTATATGTATAATTTTCATCGTTATATAATAATAATATTTTAAATGATAATCAAATGAGAAGAGACTTCAATTACCTGGAAGATACCCTGTAATTATAATTACAGTGAGAATAATTAATAATGTACTGTAGAAAATTTCAAGTAATAGATTGTTTAATTGCCGCATATCGTAGCCTACTGCACTAGATGCAAATCTTATAGGTTACAGCGGATGGCAATTAAGCAACCTCCTTCTAACCCAAGCAAACCCAACATTTTAATTTATTTACCAAGTATTGTCAAAATAATGTTAATGCTAAATAAAACAGTTTAAAATTAATTTCAAAAACATTTATTTTATTAATACAGTAACTAAAAAAAAACGAACCAAAAATCTGCAGAAAATCCCCGTTTAATAGCCACCCCAATCGGAGGAAATATCAAACTAAAAATCAAGGCCAATATGTCGTCAGGACTGTAGTCTACCATCTTTAAGTTATAATAAAAAGAGATGGAGGTTTGGTAGAAGAACGAATTTAAAAAAAATAGCCCGAAATATGCAGATATCGATATAAATAGAAATCGAATTAACATGACAACATCACATAAACCTGCTTTCGTAATGTTTTTCTCATCAGCATGATTATTACGTATCGTGTAAATTATTCTAATACGTATCGATATCTATACATAGCGACAGTAGCACAAGTTTTAAAAAAATACAGCTGACGTCATATTATATATATGTTTATGTGCCACATGTTTCTTAATACGGAGGCGGAGGCACTCAATAATTTTCTCGATTAATTTTGGGGTTAGGGTCATTCTATATTAGGGTTATGTTAGGTTTTAGGTAGTTATATATAAGCAGATTTGCCTTCCGAAGTAGGTTTAGACTGCCGTTTTTTGTATTTTTTGTATTTTTTGTATTTTTTGTATTTTTTGTATTTTTTGTATTTTTT